TTGACTTTAAGATTTGGGTGTCTCTTAATTTCTTAAGACATTATAAAGGACCCCAGCATGAATACTTTAATAACTTACTAATAAATTATTAAGGATGTGTTTGAGAGAGATTTTTGCAATGGAAAGAGTTCAAGTAAATTAAATAGAAAAAGGTTAACGAGAAGTTGCGAGAAGAATCAATATCCGCGGGAAAAATGAGAATATTCTTGCCAATCAGTCCAATGGTAGGTAGGTCGTTTCATTTTACCCCGACATCATCATTTCTAGATATCTTTAATGCCTTCATAGCACATTAGAATTCACTTTTTTATCACCACTTGATGGTATCACCACTACCATGTGAGTAGACCCGTGTCTAAATGACCATGGCAGGTGAGAGACAGCTGTACATCAAATTCTAATTTCTGTCGAGATAGTGCGGAATGAAGAGCACACCCGCGTATCCGGGTCGTGTCTTTTTTTAACTGAAAAGACTTGATAAACAGTTAATTTTAGAAAATCTAGTTCAGGTTATGAGCATATAGATTCACCTGACGCAAACGAAAGTCACCTGCACTTTTAAAATGGTTACATACATTAAAGGTTTTTTTCGAATGGCAATTAGACCGACTTCCTTGCGGTTGGCGAAATGATCTAAAAAGAACAGCATGGCTTAGGGGTATACTTCAACTTCTCGGTCCTCGGTCATGAGGATGAATCAACTGGGTATCAACCTTTGATCCTTTATCAACGATTTTGGTTTACCGTATTTTATTCCGCCCAGGAATAAAACCGGAACGTAAAATGTTACCTGAGGAACCGAGAAGGAGAATTTATCTAATAATCTAGTACTCGTGACCTTAATGTTTGACTCAGAGGTGATATTGTAAAGAGAAGTTGGATACTTGTCAATCCAGCTGGGGCCAAAGAGTTAATCAAGAAAAAATTAGTGTGGTATCAATGCATTAACTCTAGCTGATAACTTTGTCTATTCTCACTGCCAGTTTGCCTGGTATTTTATAATATATAGATTTAGCCAAGCCTAAAAGCGGAGCTTTTTTTTTTTTTCTCCCGCACGTCTCAAGGGCACAACGCCTTGCCCCGGCGTCCGACTCGGAGCCCAGTGCACTGACCACTGGACTACTGGATAAAGCCGTGGCTTTGGCGTGCCCGCGGCACGCCAAACGCATGTTAAAGGTAGCACCTTGTACGGACACCCGTACGGTCATAAGTCCAAATTTTTTCAGCTTGAAATTAAATTAATCGTTACAGTGTGGATTCTTTCAATTTACAGATGGATGCGAGTCTCACATCATTGCAGTTGGCATAGCTCTATTGTCAATTTGCCTTCGTTTCTCAATTTATAAAGAGCAGCTGATAGTAAATTCAACCAAAGCTGGCGAATTCTAAGAACTAAAGTCAGCAGTAAAAGGCTTTGGACGCACAGATTTTCTCGTTTTTCTTCTTCGACCCTCCTTCAGCTCGGGGAAGGTACATGGGCTCATTTCCTGAACACCGGATAGTTATCTCGACTCCACCTCACCACCCACTGGGTGTGACACATCACAATGTCGGGTTTTCATTATTTAGTTTTATTAATAAAATTCAGCACTGGTTGGGAAGTGTGGAGGGGAGATAGAGGCGCTTGTTTAGCTTAAAAAAATTAATTGATAATAAATAAAATAAAGCAGTTCCATATTTTCAATGTCTGAAGCATCGAATGACCCAAGCCACCAAATTATCGAGCCGTCTAGTGCTCTCTTTCAAGTGATTTAGGAATTCTTAAAACGTTTTTTGGGGCAAATTGTAGTCTCCAGCAACTGTTAGGACTTCAAAGATACGTTTTAAGCAATTCTTCTACTTCATTATGCAAATAACTTAGAGCTAATTAATCATTTAATGAATATAACGGATTTTACTTTCCAACTTTCATACACTGTACGAATTCCGATTTTCTGATTGGCCTGTTTTTATCAAGTGACCAAGGAATCTCCTTGACGTCATTATCGTGGTGTAAATTCAAGAGCGCGTCTTGGTGTAAATTCAACACACCAGTGTCACTACACCATGGCTTCGGCTGACTAAAACTTTGACGATTTGTCAAATGCAGGCATTGATTCTTATTGATGATGCAATTTCTAAAAACACCAAGAGAGCATCGGCTAGGGGAATATCTGTTTTGAAAGATAAAGTTGTAA